ATTTTCTCCTGGACACAAGAGCCTACTATTTGGTCCTAAAAGCCATCTGAGGTCCCAACTCTTCTCACTATTTCTTAGTTGTTGGAATTGATGGAAAACCTCATAAGCAGTTCCTTACTTCACCTCTGCCTTACATGTGGAATTCTGAGCTAGAAAACAACCCAGCGGTAGATGGAATTTGGTCCAGGACTTAAGAACAATAAATGACATAGTTGAGCCTCTCTATCTTGTGGTTCCTAGCCTTTATACTATAATAGACAAAGTGCTAGTCAATAAGTCTTTTATTTTAAGAACTACCTTCTCTCTGTAACTTGATTTGTGCCACTGTTAAAACCACTACTTGGAATATTATTGCTTTTCATTTTAGACTCATGTACTTTTTAACTTGTTAGTTAAATTTGTGTCTTCTAGACTGCAAGAGTCCCATGATGCATCTTCAAGGATATAAACGTGTATGGCTAAGCACAACTGATAACAGTGCATCTAAATTCCAAAATCATTTTCCACAACAGTCTACATGTTTCCTATTGCCAAATGGGCCCTTTAGAGAAGTGAGAGATTTTCACCCTGAAACCTACAGCATCCCTTTTCAACAGGGAAGTAGCTAAGAGAATATGCTGTCCCCTTTTCCTTATGAATCAGGGTGAAATCTCTCTCAGGGAGGAGTGATAGGGAATGGAAAAAGGACACACTGACAAAGGAAATTAATCAGAACTGGTTTTGATAAGCACTGTGACAATGGGACAATTAAAACAGACTTTCAAGGAACATTCAACCTGAATCCTTCTGATTATATGGAGATTTTTGAAAGTATTTCTTTGAGTTTATTATGTTTAATTTGTTTTATTTGTTTGTGTATAAAGGATGCTCATCTAGATGATAACATAATTATGATAAAAACAAAAGGGGGGAAATAGGGAAGCCAATACTAAATATTTGTAATAAATTGAATGCTATTTAAATAAAAAAATTAAATTAATAAAGTAAATTTTTTAAAAGAAATCATCAGTTCAAATCCAACAAAATTGTGAGATTCTTTTTTAACTGAAAAGCCATCAATTTTTCCAAATTAAATACATCAGCAATAATACAAATCAATTCAGTTTATAATGTAATAAAAATATTTCTTGACTGACATAAGGGAAAGTACATCAAAATGGCACAATACTAGCAACCTATCAAGTAGTTCCTGTGACGAGAACCAAAATAAAACCTTAAGTTCAGAGCTCATCTGAATTTAAAAACCATCTCAAGAATAAATTTAAAAAAAAAAAAAAAGAATAAATTTAATGCAATGAACTCTAATGACTGAAGACCAGGTGAGTTGTGAGATGACATCAAGAATACCTCCATTCCACCAAATGCTCCTCTGGAGGAGGAGGGGCAATCTCCTTCTGTGCCAATTGTACCCGACTCGACAGTACACACAAGGAAAAAAAAAATATCATCCATGAAGAAAACAAGGGGAAGGAATGCTGAAGTAAAAGAGCTAAATGGAGGATTTCAAAAGGCAGCTTGAGAAGACAAAGTATTGTAACAAAATGTGCAAAGAGTTCAAGCTGCACTGAAGGTATTGGCAAAAATATAAATCTTCAGGAATTGATGGGATATCAAAAAAGGTGTTTTAAAAAACAGCTGCAGCCCTTAATATATGCTCACTAGTCTATGACAAGAAATTTTAGAATATAGCTCAAGAGTCTGGAAGAGATTTGTATTTGTTCACAATTCAAAAACATATTGAAGAAATTACTGAACAACGATGTCAGGCTGGAGACTAAGGTATGCCTGATCCAGACCATAGTCTTCGCAATTGTGTGCTATGTGTAGGAGAGCTGGACAGTGACTAGGGTTGATAAAAAGAGAATTGATACCTTTGAGCTGTGGTGCTGAAGAAGAGTGTTAAATACACCATGGACTGCTAGGAGAACAAACAGGTTTCTCTTGGAGAGGGTGAAGCCACACTGCCCCTTGGAGTCAGGATTCTAAAGCTTTGTCATTCTTTGGGCATATTTCAAGGAGGGACCAGTCCTTGTAGAGGGACATCATGTTTGGAAGAGTGGAGGGAGAGTGCATGAGGGGAAGACCCTCGATGAGATGGATCGATTCAGTGGTTGGAGTAATGGGAGTAGGTGTGTCAGAGACAGTGAAGGTGGCACAGGATAGAGCAGGGTTTAGGGCTCTTGTAGCGTCTTAAGGGCACATAACACAGCACATGCAAGTAAAACTTTGCTAATCACTACTTAAAAATGGTTGGAAAAATATATTGACAAGAAAATTGCCTGAAGATCAAACTGGATTGAGAAGAGGCTCTACCATGAGGAACTTCAGATGTCAAAGCTGAAAGCAGAGAATACCAGAAAGATATTTATTGATTATGCAAAGGAGTTTGAACATAACATTGAGAAGAATGAGAATTCCAGGACACTTAATCAGGCTTATGTGAAACCTCTATATAGACAAGAAGAAACTATCTAAACAGAATAAAGGAACACTGCTCAGGTTAAAATCAAGAAAGGAGTGCATCAGGGTGTATCCTTTCTGCAAACTTATTCAGTCTGTATGCTCAGCAAATCAATAGACAAGTTGGACAATGTAAGGTAGAATGTCTCATCAAGATAGGAAGAAAACTCATCAAAAACCTGTAATGTCCAGATGACACAACTTTGCTTGAAGAAAGTAAAGAAGACTTATAACGTTTGCTGCAGCCTTAAAATTGAATTACAACTCAACATTAAGAAAACAAAAGTCCTCACCACTGGACCATTACCAACATCATGACAGAGAAAGAACTTGTCAACAATTTCACTTAACTTGGATTCACAATAAACATCCATGGCAACAGCAGTCAAGACAGCAAAGATGTGTTGCACTGGGAAAATCTGTTGTCAAAGATATTGTCAATATGTTAAATAACAACAGTATCAGATTAAAGACCAATGTGTGTCAGATCCAAGCCATGGTATTTTATATTGCTTCCTAAGCTTCTGAAAGTTAGACAATAATTAAGGATGACAAAAGTAGAAGAAATATCTTTGAAATAAAGTGTTGAATAAGAATACTGAGTATGTCAGGTGCTGCCAAAAGAACAAACTACTTTTATCTTAAAATACTCCAGAGTGCTTCTTAGAGGCAAGGATGTTAAAATTTCATTTCACATTCTTTGGACATATTTTCATGAGAGACTATTCCTTGAAAAAAGACATTTTGCTGGGAAAGGTGGAAGGTCTGAGAAAGAGACGACCCTTAACAAGATGGATTGACACAGTGGCTTTAACAATGAGCTTGAGCTTATCAGAAATGAAGATGATGGTATAGAATAAGACAAGATTCAGATCTGTTGTTCATAGGAATAATAGAGGGCACCTCACTGTTGATATGAGTGGTTTAATTGAAATCTTTAGCAATATCAAAACATCACCTTCTGAAAGAAAGAGATTAAGGAATATTTAGTTTATCTGAATACATTTTTATCAAACCAATAGAGAAGAGGAACCAAGAAATGATAAAATCAAAATTTAGTCAAGTGTCTGAAAGTGTCAAAAGGAAAACAAATACCAGTTATCTTTCTATATTTTGCTTGTAAACCATGTGATTTTACTGTAAAAATCTAGCATGTACATCAATCAAGTTTGTTGGGTTCTAACAGCCATATTCTCCACTCTTCTTAGAACAAAGGAAGATAAAGATTTCTCATTTCTTTGAAAATGAGCCAGAAACTCTCAATATGCCAACCCTTAATCTTCAGATGAGGAAGCACTAAATCATTTTGCAAAACAAGTTTAAAATACTTTATATAAACAAATGATAAGCATTTCCCAAATTAGTGTATAACTACACTTCCTCTATATTTGAACTTCTAGGTATTTCTGTGGCTTCAGTATTTTCACAACACTAAGTAGTCTTGCTGCTTTAAAACTATTTCTGTTGTTGTTTGAGGAAGACAATAAGTAGAAAGCAGGAGCTTGCAAAATAATATTTCTCTTTAGTTTCTGTGAGAAACAAGGTGGTGAAATAATGACAAAACTCACTCAGCTTAGTCATACCATCAAATCAGAATCGACTCTTAGCACACCTTCCATTGAGTTTCAAAGGATGGAAATGGCATGGCAGGAGATTCCAACCACCAGATAGGTGTAAGCTTTGGATTGGCAGTTCAACTCTACAGACTAAGCCAATGACAAAACGAGTTCAGTGACATATTCTCTAATTCTACTTACTCCATTATTCTAGTGAATAAGAATGATAGAAGAAGAATAGATGCCTTTGAACTGTGGTGTTGGGGGAAGAGTACTAAATATCCCTTGGATTGTCAAAAGGACAAAGAAAGATCACTTCAAGAAAGTCCAGGGTGCTCTCTGGAGGCAAAGATGATTAAATTCCGCCTCACATACTTAGGCACATTTCTAGGAGAGGCTATTCACTGGAGCGGGATATGATATTTGGGAAGGTAAAGGGACAGCAAAAGGGAGGAAAGTACTCTCAACCAGGTGGACTGACACAATCACTGCAGCAATGAGCTCAAGTGTGAAAGCGATTGTGAAGATGACACAGGATAGGATAGGTTAGAGATCTGTAGGCCCTAGGGTCACTCTGAGCCTAACTCAACTTGATACCATCCAACAACAACAAAAAAGTATTGATTTATATGATAGGTTTAAAATAAAATAAAGGTCAGAATATAAATAATTGACTTACCCCTGTGAAAACAGCAACTTTACTGACTTCTGAACTGAATGGGTATGGAAGGCTAAGAACACTGGCAAATGGCTCCACTCTTTTCTAAATACATAAAGGAAAATATAATTATCAAAAGCTCATGTTTTCTTTAACTCACCTATCTGTAAAACCAGAACCAACACTGATTCATGCAGAGAGAAACTGAGCTGGTACTATTTTGTTGTGCATATTTTAACACATTTTTTTTAAAACCCCAGAACTGACATATTTTATTTTTAGCATTTTAATGCTACCATATGCCCTCTCATTATTTCAAAATTATACACTGATTACAATTTAAAGCACAAAATAATATATTTTATAAAATTTTATAATAAAAACATAAATATTTCTTCTCTCGACTACTGATTCTTCTTCACTATTTCCAACTTTTGCATTCCAGTCACCCATTATTATCAATGCATCTTGATTGCATGTTCAATCTATCTCCGACTGTAAAAGTTGGTAGAAATCATCTATTTCTTCTTCTTTGGCTCTGGTTGTTGGTGCATATATCTGAATGATAGTGGTATTCACTGG